GAGCACACACCAAGGTCCCTGTGACCCAAGGGGCCCACCAAGGTCTCCACGGCCCCACCAGGGTCCCAGTGGGGCTCCCCAGGCCCAAGGCATCCATCAAGGTCCCCATGGGTCCCCAAGGCACCCCCAAGGTCCTCCTGAGTCCCTATAACCCACCAAAATCCTCCTGGGTCCCCAAGGCATCCCCCAAGATCTCTTCTCGGTCCCCAAGCTGCTCCCCAAGGTCCTCCTGGGTCCCCACCACCCACCAAGGTCCCCTGGATCCCCAAAGCATCGTGAAGGTCCCTGTGGGTCCCCAAGGCGCCACCAAGGTCCCCATGGAGCCCCCAAAGGTCTCCATGGGTCTCCAGAGCACCAGTAGGGTCCCCCTGGGTCCCCAACACCCACCAAGGTCCCCATGAGGCCCCATGGAGCCCCCAAAGGTCCCTCTGGTTCCCCAACACCCATGAAGGTCCCCATGGGTCCTCCACGGCACCCACCAAGGTCCCCCTGGGTCCCCAACACCCACCAGGGTCCCCCGGGACCCCAAGGGGTCCCCAAAGGTCCCCAACACCCATCAAGGTCCCCCGGGTCCCCAAGGGGTCCCCAAAGGTCCCCCTGGGTCCCCAAGGCGCCACCCACCAGCCCCCCCGGGTTCCCAGGGCTCCCGCCGTGCCGGGGGCACCCAGGCAGCCCCCGCTGCCCCCGCTCCCCGGCCCCCCTCACCGTTCCAGGGCGGCGGCACCCACTTCTCCGTCTCCTTGCTCGGGTACAGGACGGCGCCCGCGAAGTGCTGCGCCCAGGCCACGTCGGGCTGCCATTGATGCGCCGCCCTGCGCACACGCAGCCGGTGAGCGGAGCGGGGCCCCGGCCCGGCCCGGCCCGCCCGGCCCGCGCTCACCTCGCCGGGGCCGCCCCGAGCCGCGGCCGCGCTGAAGGTGCCCGCAGCCGCCACAGCGCCCGCAGCGCCGCCATCTTGCCCTTCGCTGCACCGCGCGCGCGCGCGCCCCACCCCCGACGTCGCCGCCGCCGCCATGATTGGTGAGGGCGCGGCCGAGAACACCCACACCCCCTCTTTCCTGCCGCGCCCGCCATATTGACTAGGGGCAGAACCAGCGGGAGGCGGGGGGAAAATCGGCGTCATCTTTACTAAGGGAACCATTCTGGCCTCGCTTCGCTGCCCTTAGCTGCAGCCGCCATCTTTTTGGCGGGCAGCGGCTGGTGGGACCCGAGGGGACGGGGGAGCGCGGTGGTTCCCTGCGATGCGGGGACCTCCTGGGGCCGCCCACGGGCCCGGGACACCGGGACGCACAGGGACCCACAGCGGCTGAGGCCTGGGGACCCGCGCGTTCTGCCCCCGGGAAAGGCTGGGAAGGCTGGGTATCCCGTGCCTTTGGCCAACAGGGAAAAGGGGAGGGTCGGGAAATCGGGATAAAAGGGGGCTGAGACCTCCAGCAGCTCGAGAGACTCCTCAGGGATATTCCCGGCGGGCGCTGCCTTTATGCGGATTAAGTCTGAGGTCTCCCCGTGTCCTTTGGGGACATTCCATTCCCGACAGCGAGATTTGCCGCGCGGGAGCGCTTGGCCGCCGCACGCAGGGGCTGGCAGGGCTCGTGTGCCCCTCTGCCCCTGGGGACACCAGGGACAGCCCGTGTCGGGACCGGCCGCGCAGCTGGGGTGTCCCCCCCCAGTGTCCCCAGGGCCCTCGGAGTCATCGCGTCCCCCCTGCACCCCCCCAGCGCCCCCACTGGCGTCACGGCCCCCGGGTGACGCCAGCGGCTGCCGGAGCGCCCGTCACGGCCGTCCCCGGCGCGCTGAGTCACGGCGGCCCCGCTGCCCGCGGGGTGACAGCTCCCAGCTGGGGCGCTGGCACCGGCCCCACGGGGGCCTCCCCGCTTCCCGGCCCCCCCCTCCAGCCCCTGGACTTCCCGCGGGAAAGGCAGGAGCTGCGGGCGGGCGGCAGCCTCCCGTCCCGGGACGCCTGGGCCCGCCGCTCGCCGGGTGGCTCTGGCGGCCACCGGTGTCCCCAGCCACGGGGACCGGCTTGTGACGGACGCCCGTGGGCTCGTGCACAGCGGCGCTCGTGAACGTGCATGCATGTGCCAGCACTGCTGCACGCGCTGCACGCGTGGCGGCTGCACGTGTGAACATCACACACGTGTGAACATCTCTGCACACTCATGAACATCTCTGAACACGCATGAACACCTCCACACACGCGTGAACATCTCTGCACATGCGTGAACATCTCTGCACACACATGAACATCTCTGAACACACATGAAAACCTCCACACACGCGTGAACACCTCTGCACATGCATGAACCTTTCCACACACATGTGAACATCTCTGAACACGCATGAATATCTCCGCACACGCATGAACATCTCCACACACATGTGAACATCTCTGCACATGCATGAACATCTCTGCACACGCATGAACATCTCTGCACATGCATGAACATCTCTGCACACACACGAACCTTTCCTCACACACATGAACATCTCTGCACATGCATGAACCTTTCCACACACATGTGAACATCTCTGCACATGCATGAACATCTCTGCACACGCATGAACCTTTCCTCACACACATGAACATCTCTGCACATGCATGAACCTTTCCACACACATGTGAACATCTCTGAACACGCATGAACACCTCCACACACACGTGAACATCTCTGAACACCTTTGCACATGCGTGAACATCTCCGCACATGCGTGTGCGCGGGCACTCCCGCCTCCCGGCCAGGCTGCTCCGTGGCGCGAGCGCCGGGAACTGCCTGTTCTCGGCGTGAGGTCAGCGCGGAGGATGTGGGAACGGGCACGGCGCTCCGGGGAATGCCGGAGCCCGCGGCTTCGGCGTTCCCAGCCCGCTGCCGGCAGTCCCTGCCCTCCCCCCTTCTCCTCCCGCCTCGGGTGTTTCCGGCCTTCCCAGCTCCCGTCCTCATTCCCTGATGTGGCTGGAGTTCAGCCCGGGGAGCCTGAGCTGGGCTGTGCGTCAGCCCCAGGGTCACTGTGGCCCCAAGGTGGCTCCCCTGGGAGCACGGGAGCCGGGGATGCTCCGAGGTCACCGTGTCCCCAGGGTGGCACCTCTGGGTGCAAGAGACCCTGGATTACTCCAGGGGTCACTGTGTCTCCAAGGTGGCATTCCCAGGATGGGGACACCTCAAGGTCACTGCGTTCCCAGGGTGGCATCCCTGGGTGCACAGGAGCCAGGGACGCTCCAACATCCCCCTGTCCCCAAGGTGGCACCTCTGGGTGTGCAAAGCCCAGGATGCTCCAGGGTGATGCAGAGCTCTCATGTTCCCTGGCACCACAGGGGCCCTGCCACAGTGGGGACAACCCCCCCAGTCCCTGGGACAGGGGAGGATGCAGGTAGCACCCATGGGTGCAGAGAGCTTGGGATACCCATGGCCTTGTCCTGCACCTGCATTTTCTGCAGCTGGGCAGGGGGGGACTTTGCATCTGGAGCCAGGGATGCCAGAGCCGGCAGGTTCCGGAGCCAGCGGATTCTGGAACCAACAGATGCCGGAGCATTCGGGATGCCAGAGTCCAGGCAATGCTGGGCACTGGAGCTGGCAGATGCCGGAGCATTTGGGATACCAGAGTCCAGGCAGTGCTGGACACTGGAGCTGGTGGATTCTGGAGCTGGCAGATGCCGGAGCATTTGGGATGCTGGAGCATTTGGGATGCCAGAGCTCAGGCAGCGCTGGACGCTGGAGCTGGCGGATTCCGGAGCTGGCAGATGCAGGATGTAGCCGATGCCGGTGCTGGCTGGCGCCGGACTCAGCGGATGCCGGAGCCAGGTGTCCATGGGGGCTCACGGGGCCAGCAGGGCCTGGAGAGGGGAGTGTGACCAGGGGTGACAGGGGGGTCCCATGGGTGGGAGCCCTGCCCCGCTCCGCCCCGCACAGCGCCTTGGGCTCGCAGCAGCACCGGGGCACAGAGCTCCTTTGTGCCGCCGCACCGGGTGACACTGACACCCTTTGTCCCGGCCCGCGTCACCCTTTTGTTCTGCCGGGGACGGCGCCGTCGGTGCCCGTGTCCCTGCCGGCTCCAGCGACGTCTCCTGCAGCCCTGTCCCCATCGGGGGGACCCTGATCCGGGCGGGACGGCAGGTGCCAGCGGAGCCGGACGGGTGGCACCCCCCATGGTGGGGCAGGAAGGGTCCCGGCCCCCCATTTACAGGCAGGACGGAAGCAGGATACGCCCCGTGTCCTGCCTCGCTCCTGGCCTTCCTCCGGCTGTGCCAAGCTGCCGGTGACTTATCCCGGTGACACAGCGTGGAGCTGCCGGGAAGAGCGGACACGGGGAGGGCGTGGGGAGGGGCTCCGCGCCGCTGGACAGAGCCATGGGCAGGGATGCGGATGGGGAAAGCTGCAGGGAGGGATGCGGAAGGATGCAGGGGTGGATGGAGCGGGATGCGGGGGGTGGAATTGGGAGGGATGGGGAGGGACGCGGGGAACAGAATAGGGGCAGCGGGGTAGCCAGGGTGGCAGGGACACGCTGGGTGCTGCAGGGGGTGCTGGGGGGCAGGAGGTGCTGGGTGCCAGCCCCAAGCCCAGGGTGCTGGGAATACCCAGTATTCCTGGGAATATTGGGAACATCGGAGCCAAGAGAGCCACCCTGAGGCCAGCACCCATGCCCAGCGCACATGGACACCCCCAGAACCGCCCAGACACGGGTGGCACCCGGTGCTGACACCCATGGGCGCACAGACGGGTCCCGGCTAGGGAAGGGGATGTGGGAGGGCTGTGGATCCGTTCCCGGGATCCCCCTGCCCCCCTTTTCCCTCGGGGCTTCGAGTTCCCGGAAAGGCTCCCGGGCCGGGGGGGGGGTCGGGGAGGGGGGGCCGTGTCATCGCCGGGCGCGCGGCCAGCGCGGGCTCGGGGCTGCCCCGGGGCCGCCCCGGTTCCGCCTCTCCCCGCCCGCCCTCCGCGGCCCCTAAAAGGCGGCGGGCCGGGCCGGGCCGGGCCGGGCGGCTCCCGGGCTCCGCCGCGTTCCGGGCCATGCGCCGCGCGCTCCTGGCGCTCGTGGCCGCCGCGTGTTGTCGTCTCGCGTGGCCGCGCGTCGCCCCCGGCCAAGCGCCGGGAGCCGCGGGGCCCATGTGCCCCGTGACGGCACCGGCGGGAGCCGCGACGGAGCCGCCGCCGCGGGCGGAACCGGCCCCGAGGAGAGCCAAGGTACGGCCGGACCGGGGTACCGGAATGAGCCCCAACAGGGGTAGGATGGACCGGGATAGGATGAACTGGGACTGCCGGAGATGAGGCAGGATAAGAGCCAGGAAAGGCCAGAATGGATTAGAACGAGGAATGGAGCGAGCGGGATGAACTGGACTAGGATGAAGCGGATAAAATGAATCGGGATGGGATGGAGGGGAACGGGGTGGGGTTGAACAGCGACTGGATGGAGCAAGGCAAATGCAATGGGATGAACTGGGATGGACTGGATTGGGAAGAGAAAGGATAGAACAGGATGGAGTGGGATGAACCGGGATGAGACGGACCGGGATGGGATACTACGGGCCGGGACACAGGAGTGACCGGGAGCGGGCTGGGCCGGGGCGGGGACAACCCAGGGGCGGGGGCAGCCCGGGGAGGGGAGGGGACATCGCGGGCCGACACCCCGGGGGGGCCGACCGGGCCGGGCCGGGCCGGGGAGGGGACATCGCGGGTCGGGCCGGGCCGGCCCGGGGAGGGGACATCGCGGGTCGGGCCGGGCCGGGCCGGGGAGGGGACATCGCGGGCCGGGCCGGGCACCGTGACGGGGCCCTGAGCCCGGAGCCGCGAGGGTGGCAGGGGACACGGAAGGGCTGGCACAGGAACAAGCGACAGCAGCAGGGACCCCATGAGACTCGGCGAACACGGGGGTCACGAGCTCTGGGCTGTCCCGGTGCCAAGGGACACCAGCGTGTGGTGGCACCGCAGCGGGGGCGGTTAGGACGGTGGCAGAGGCCACGGCGGGGGCCATGCTCACCCGGCGCCCCGTCCCCGGCAGCGCTTCGCCTCGGTGCCGCGCTACGTGGAGACGCTGGTGGTGGCCGACGAGTCGATGGCGCGTTTCCACGGCCCGGAGCTCGAGCGCTACCTGCTCACGGTGATGGCAGCCGCTGCCAAGGCCTTCCGGCACGCCAGCCTCGCCAACCCCGTGGAGCTGCTGGTGACGCGGCTGCTGGTGCTGGGCCCGGGCACCCCCGGGCCCCCCGTCACCTCCAACGCCGCCCAGATGCTGCGCAACTTCTGCGAGTGGCAGCGGGACCTCAACGACCCCGACGAGGACAGTCCCCGGCACTTCGACACCGCCATCCTCTTCACCCGGCAGGTGGGTGCTGGCAGGGTCTGGGTGCTTGGGGACCCGGAGGGTTCAGCTTGGGGGCTTTGGGTGCCTGGGTGTCGTGGCAGGGTGCTTGGGTGCTGGCTGGGGTTCCGTGGGGTCCCAGGGCATTTGGGTGCCGTCTGCGGTCTTTGGGCGGCCACCAGAGCCCACTGGAGGGTGCTGGGTGGGATCACGGACATGTCCCAGGGTGCAGGGGGTGCTATGGTGCAGTTTGGGATTCCTGGGATGTGTCCTAGGGCATTTGGGAGCCAGATAGATCTTTGGGGGGCTCCTAAGGGGTTTCAGTGCTGGTGGGGTCCCTGAGATGTCCTTGGGGGCCCCCTGCATTTTTTTGGGTGCCAGTGGGGGGTCTTTGGGACATTCATCAGCTTTCGGGTGCTGCCAGGGTCCCTAGGGTGGATCCCAGGGACTTTGGGTGCCCGTTGGGTCCCTGGGTGTCCCCAGGGGCTCAGGCAGGGCCGGATGGGAGCCACGGCCTGTGTCCCCCCCCCAGGACCTGTGCGGGGCGGCCACCTGCAACACGCTGGGCATGGCCGACGTGGGCACCGCGTGCAACCCCGCGCGGAGCTGCTCCATCGTGGAGGACGACGGGCTGCAATCGGCCTTCACGGCCGCCCACGAGCTCGGTGAGGACGGCAACGGCGGCGGTGGGGACAGCCCCGGGCTGGGGGGACCGAGCGGGACCGGGACGGAGCCCTTGTCCTGTCCCCGGCACAGGCCACGTCTTCAACATGCTGCACGACGACTCCAAGGCCTGCGAGGAGCTGAACGGGCGCGCGGGCGCCTCGCGCCACATGATGGCCCCGGTGATGTCCTCCATGGACCCCGAGGAGACGTGGTCCCCGTGCAGCGCCCGCTTCATCACCGACTTCTTGGACAACGGCCACGGTAGGAGCCGGGGGAGCGGCGCTCCGGCAGGGACTGGCTCCTTTCGCTCCGGGCATCCAGCGGTGGCCAAGCAGTGACGCTCCCCATGTCACCTCCGCAGGCCAGTGCCTCCTGGACAAGCCCCCCGAGTGGCTGCGCTTGCCCACGGCGCTGCCGGGCAGCCAGTACGACGCGGACCGGCAGTGCCAGCTCGCCTTCGGGCCCGAGTCGCGCCACTGCCCCACGCCGCAGCCGCCGTGCGCCGCGCTCTGGTGCACCGGCCGCGCCAACGGGCGCGCGCTCTGCCAGACCAAGCACTTCCCCTGGGCCGACGGCACGCCGTGCGGCGCCGGCAAGACCTGCATGAGCGGCCGGTGCCTCGGCCACGGCGACATGAAGGAGTTCGAGGTGAGCAGAGATGCTGCGAGGAGCTTTGCAGGCTCGGGAGCTCGCGGGTTCAGGAGCTCAGGAGCTTGCAGGCTTGGGAAATCGGGAGTTTGGAAGCTTAGGAGTCTGGGAGCTTGCAGGCTTGGGAACTTGCAGGTTTGCAGGCTCGGGAACGCAGGAGCTTTGCAGGTTTGGGAGCTCGCAGGTTCAGGAGCTCAGGAGCTTGCAGGCTTGGGAAATCGGGAGCTTGGAAGCTTAGGAGCTTGCAGGCTCGGGAGCTTGCAGGCTTGCAAACTTGGGAGCTCAGGAGCTTGAGGGCTTGAAGGCTTGGGAACTTGCAGGTTTGCAGGCTCGGGGATGCAGGAGCTTTGCAGGCTCGGGAGCTTTGCAGGCTCGGGAGCTTGGAATCTTGCGGGCTTGGAAACTTGGGAGCTTTGCAGGCTTGGGAGCCTGGGAGCTTGCAGACTTGCAGGCTCGGGAGTTTAGGAGCTCACAGGCTCGGGAGCTCACGCTTTGCCACCTCTCTCCCGCAGACGCCCGTGGACGGCGGCTGGGGGCCGTGGGGCGCGTGGGGCGCCTGCTCGCGCAGCTGCGGCGGCGGCGTGCAGTTCTCGCGGCGCGCCTGCACCAAGCCGGCGCCGCGCAACGGCGGCAGGTACTGCGCGGGCAAGCGGGCGCAGTTCCGCTCCTGCAACGTCGACGCCTGCCCCGGCACCACGCGTGAGTGGGGACGGCGGGTGGCGGGTCCCTATCGCCTCCGTCGGAGCACTCCGAGGGGATTTGGAGGCTCCAAATCCCCAAAACCGTGGGGATTTGGAGGAATTCTTAGCTCGCCGGTGTCCCCCCATGCAGCTCTCACCTTCCGGGAGCAGCAATGCGCTGCCTACAACTACCGCAGCGACCTCTTCAAGGGCTTCCCGGCGCCCATGGACTGGGTGCCGCGCTACAGCGGCGTCGCCGCCGAGGATCGCTGCAAGCTCACGTGCCAGTCCGAGGCGCTGGGCTACTACCACGTGCTGGAGCCGCGGGTGAGCGCCGGCACCGGCGGGGAGGCCGGGGTCGGCGGCGGCCGGCGCGGGTGCTGAGGCGCTGCCGCTGCCCGCAGGTGGCCGACGGGACGCCCTGCTCGCCCGAGGGCACCGGCGTGTGCGTGCAGGGCCGCTGCGTGGCCGCCGGCTGCGACCGCGTCATCGGCTCCAGGAAGAAGTTCGACAAGTGCATGCGCTGCGGCGGCGACGGCTCCACCTGCACCAAGGTCTACGGCTCCTTCGCCAAGGGCCGGTAAGGAGGCGGGGGGCCAGGGGGGCGCCCCGGGCTCGCGGCATCCCCGCGGGCTCCATGCGCCCCGTTTCGTCCCCGCAGCTACGGCTACAACGACGTGGTGACGGTGCCCGCGGGCGCCACGCACCTCTGGGTGCGGCAGCTGTCGGCGGCGGGCGAGCGCGGCGCCGTGTTCCTGGCGCTGCGGCAGCCCGGCGGCGCCGCGCTCCTCAACGGCGCCTACGTGCTCGTGCCCTCCGAGACGGACGTGCCGCTGCCCGGCGGCGGCACAGCGCGCTACAGCGGCGCCACCAAGGCCGAGGAGACGCTGGCGGCGCGCGGGCCGCTGCGCCGGCCGCTCGTGCTGCAGGCCTTGGTGGTGGACGAGCGGCGCCCGCCGCGCCTCAAGTACAGCTTCTTCGCGCCGCGCGCCGCCCCGGCGCCCGCCTGGGAGAAGCAGAAAGCCGAAATCCTGGAGATCCTGCGGAGCCGGCGGCGCTCCAAGTAGTCCCGCGGGCACCCTGGGGCTCCGCTGAGCCCCGCGGCACTGAAGTCTCTATTTATTGGGTTATTTATTGCCCGCTGGGAGCGGGGGCATCACCGGGCAGCCCCCACTGTGTAGCCTGTCTGAGCCCTGCCGGACTCGTGTCACATGTGGGACAAGCCATGCGGCGCAGCCGTCACTACCTCAGCCCCCCCCTCCAGCTGCCTCCCCCAGGCCCGTTTCGGGTCCCCCCGCTGCCCAAAGGGGCACCCAGGAATGGGGGAGTCTCCCTGGGCAGGTCTCAGGGTCCCCCCACGTTGCCGTCACCCCCGTCCCCAGGTCGCTGCTGGCTCCGGCCTCGCGGAGCAGCTCTTGGAGCCGTTATTTATTTGGGGAGGCGGCGCGGGCAGGGCCCAGGGCGCGCGTCCCCGCTCCACGTGTCCCTGCCCCGCGTGTCCCCTCCGCGGCCGGGCGCTCGCACGCGGTTATTTAAAGCTATTTATGGACGCCACGCGCCTGCGTGCCGTTTGTGTGAGGGCAGAGCCTGGCACCGGGCGCCCCGCGCGCAGCTGCGGCCGCGTTAACCCGCTGCGAGCCCAGCTGCGCCTCAGGGTGCTGCTGAGCACGGGGGCCCAGGCGTCCGGGGACAGGCCTGGTCACCACCTTGGGGGTGACGCCCAGGGCGGCGGCCACATCAGCAGAGTCGGGATCTGGTCCCGGCTGCCCCGATCTGGTGCCAAGCACTGAACAACCCCAAATGCACGGGGGTGACCCTGCTATGGGCCCCCCCCGGGTTCCCCTTGTGCCAATCACACAGGGCACCAGCAGCTTTCCCCAAAACGGGATTTTATTGGGAGCTCCTTCCCAGCTGCCGCTCCCGGTGGCGGGCAGAGCTGCCGTCGACGCACGCAGCCCCGGGGAGCTGGGGCCTCGCTCCTGACCTGTCCCCGAGAGCCCCAAGGGACGGCCCGGGCCAGCACCCCCTTCTTTGGGTCCCCAGCAGCACCTGCAGCTTGGTGCCCGCTGTGCCCAACGGCAGCGCACAGGGTGACGGGCCCTGGCGGCGCCAGGGGACAGCTCTGGGTGCCACGCGCCCCTCGAGCGGCTCTGGCAGCCTCAGTGCTGCAGATTGTTCCCTGGGGGGGTGGCACGGGGCTCACCCTGTCCCAGGGGGGACAGGCCCCAGAGCAGCACCCACCGCGGTGCCTCAGCGTGGCCACGGCAGCCCCGCGAAGCTGCCATCGAGGTGTCACCAAGCGTCCCTCCCGCTAGCACCAAGCCGGCTGCAGCTTCACACGTCGTAGTCGGGCAGGTAGCTGTAAGCGGGGCCCGTGCCCGCCGGCGCGCCGCAGTTCCAGGGGAAGAACCAGCAGATCACGAAGCCTGGGAAGGGAGAGTCGCCGGCGGAGCCGCCGCGGGCGTCTCGGCGTCGCCGGGTCACCCCCTGTCACCGAGAAGGGCCCCCCGTGCCCGCCACGCACCTCTCCCGAACACGTCGCGCAGCAGGGCCAGCCTGGGCTTCCGCCGGGGCGGCGCCTCCCGATCCGCCTCCTTCAGCACCCGCTTGCGGAGCTGCTCCAGGGGCGTCTCATCCGTGATGATGGAGGTGACCTGCGGGTGAGGCGGGGGGGACGTCACAGCTGTCCCCTCCCCGGGCTCAGGCCATCGCCTCCGAGCCCCAACTCACCTGGTCGTAAAATATGGCGGTGACAAAGGCGCCGAAGAGGACGGACTCGAGCAGCAGGACGATGCAGTGGGCCCTGAGGGGACAGTGACGCCGCAGCCTGGGGACAGAGCCACCGCGGTGGTGGGGCCCAGGCGTCCGGCCGCGGCGCCCGCACTCACGTCTGCACGCGGTCGCTGGGGACGTCTCCCGGTGTCACCGTCGCGCTGCCGTCCGGCGGCCGCAGCCAGGCGGCCAGCACCAGCCCCGCGGCGTAGACACTGGCCAGGCCTGGCCCGGAGCGGGACGTCAGGGCACGGGGCACGTGTGGGGCCCGCGGCCACCGGGCCGGGGCTCTGTCCCTCTTTTGGGACCCCCACGGGCACGGGCAGTGACCCCAGCACACTCCGGATCCCCCAATCCTCGCTCTGTTTCTGGGGTGCAGTCGCTGCTCTCCGGGCAGAACCGGCTCCCTGTGCCCACGGGGCCCTGGCACAGCCCGGCCAGGGGGCCCAGGAGTCCGGGCTCCCCCCTGCAGCACCCCCATGCCCCCCCCATCACTCACCCGTGTAGAAGAGGAACTGGATGAAGTATTTCTGGTTGAGCTCCCCCACGCAGTTGTTGATCCTAGGGGCGGCAGAGGCGGGCGGGCAGCGCGGGCGCCCCAGTGGGTGTCCCCGTGTTCCCACGGGTGTCCCCGTGGGTGTCCCCATGTCCCCATGGGTGTCCCCACATTCCTGTGGGCACCGGGGGCGTCCCCGCGTCGCCTACCAGGGGCAGTGATGGTCCATGCGGCGCACGCAGCGGTGGCACACGCGGCAGTGGTGGGCGCGCGGCGGCCGGTAGGTCTCGCAGCGGTTGCACACGGTCCAGTCCTCGTTGCTCTGCCACGCGACACGGGGACAGTTAGAGGGGGACGGGAGACGTGTCCCCAGGACACACGTCCCCAGGTCTCCATCTGTAGGTCCCCATCCCCAGGACACGTGTCCCCAGGTCCTCGTCTCCAGGTCTCCATCTTCGGGTCCCCATCCCCGGGACACATGTCTCCAAGTCGCCTTGCACAGGTCCCTATTCCCAGGTCCCTGTCCCCAGGACACGTGTCCCCCAGTCCCTGTCCCCAGGTCTCTATCCCTGGGTCCCCATCCCCAAGTCCCCATTCCCAGGACACATGTCCCCAGGTCCCCATCCCTTGGGTCCCTGTCCCCAGGACACATGTCCCCCAGTCCCTGTCCCCAGGTCCCTGTCCCCAGGTCCCCATGTGCTGCTCCTTGTCCCCAGGTCCCCATCCACAGGTCCCTGTCCCCAGGACACGTGTCCCAAGGTCCCCGTCCCCGGGTCCCCGCTCACCCGCTCGGCCTTGCGCAGGCTGCGCAGCTCGGAGAAGTCCATGGCGGTGCCGGCGAGGGGGACGACGCCTGGGGACGGCGGGTGGCACCATGAGAAGGGGTGACGCGTGGGGGCGGGGAGGTGGGGGTCCCGTCCGGGGGGGCTCACCGGGGTCGGCGAGGACGGCGCGCGCGTGGCAGGCGAGCAGCAGGGCCACGACCACGTTGAAGGCCACGGCGTGCACGGGACACCAGGGGCTGCGGCGGGGGCAGCGCGGCCGGGGCTCGCACTGGCACCGGCGGCACCGGCGGCACCGGCGGCACCGGCGGCACCGGCGGCACCGGCGGCACCAGGGCCCCGGCACTGGCGGCCGACGCGGAACGCGGCGGGGGGAACACCGGGGTCTCCCGCCGCCCCCTCCGCGCCCCCCACTCGGTGTCTCCCGGTTCAGCGGCCCGTCCCCGCGCCGGCGGCCGCCCCGCTACCTGCCCCGGAAGGCGGGCTGCAGCAGCACGTGCGCGAGCACCACGTAGTCGGCGTAGGCCACGCTCAGGTAGGTGAGGAGCAGGCAGAGCGGCCCGCACGGATCCCGCGCGCACCGGGAGCCCGCCGGCGCGCCCATGGCCGCCCCGCCCCGCCCCGCCCCGCCGCCGCGCCCAATGGCAGCGCCGCGCCGCCGTGACGTCACGCACTGCGGGTGGGGGGGAGTCGCGTGCGCCGTTGCCGCGGCGACAGGGCGGGGTTTGTCCGGGACACGCCCCCCCGCGAGGCGGGGCTTGTTAGGCCGCGCCCCCTCAGCCGTGACGCTTGGCGGGAAAAACTCCCGCCGTGGGTGTCACTTCCCGGGGAGCTCCGTGTCCCGCGGTCCCGGTCGCGGTCACCCCGCGGGGTCCCGGCCCCCGGCCCGGGCGCCCCCGGCCCGGCTGCGGGCACAGGCCCCTTTAAGCGAGGGGCCGCCCCCCGTGCGTTACGTCACCCCGCCCCTTACGTCAGCCCGTCGCGCTACGTTGCGCGCTCCGCCCACGCCCGTTTCGCTGCGCTCCGAGATGGCGGCGGCGGCGACGAGCGGGCGGGGTTGACGCTCCCGCGCCCGCAGGTACCGGCGCCGGGATGGGGCCGGGGCCGGGGCCGGGTAGCCGGGAGCGGGACCGGGACCGGGACCAGGAGGGGACCGGGGGCAAGCGGGCTCCAGGCTGGTGTTGGAGCTGAGCCCCCCTGGGGTCGGGATAGGAAGGGGCCGGGGCCGGGATTGAGGCTGGGACGGGCTGGGCGGTGGGGCCGACGACCCCCGGGGTGGGGATGGGAAGCACCGGGATCGGGGTGGGAAGCGCCCCCCGGGGCAGGTCAGCGATGTGGCCCGAGGCCCCCCGGGGCGCGGAAGGGAGCGGGGCCGGGAACCCCCTGGGATCGGGGCTGGAGCCCCGCGGAACCGGGAAGGGAAGAGGCTAGGACCGAGAGGGCTCAGGATTGGGCTGGGATCTGGGATGGAGCCCCGCAGAACCGGGAAGGGAAGGGGCTGGGATTGAGAGGGTTTGGGATTGGGCTGGGATCGGGGCTGGAGACCTGCAGAACCGGGAAGGGAAGGGGCTGGGAGCTGCCCGGGCGGAACCGGGAGCCGGGGGCAGCCGGACCGGGCCGAGGAGCCGCCCCGGTGACGGCTCCGTGCCGCAGCGCCCGGCCATGCGGCCGCCCCGCCGCCCGCGCCCCGGCGCCACGTGAGGAGCGGCGCCCGTCCCGCCGTGCCCGCCGTGCCCGGCCACCATGCTGCGGCGCCTGCTCGAGCGGCCCTGCACGCTCGCCCTGCTCATCGGCTTCCAGTTCGCCTTCATGGCCTACTTCTCGCTGGGCGGCTTCCGCAACCTCACCTCCATCTTCGGCCGCGACAGCAGCCCCGTCTTCGACTACTCGCGCACGCGCGACGTCTACGCCAACCTGAGCCGCCTGCTGCCGCGCGAGCCCCTCGGCGCCGACCCCGCGCAGCCCCTGCCCTACTGCCCCGAGCGCTCGCCCTACCTCAGTGAGTGGGGCGGCTGGGGGAGGATGGAGGTGGCCGAGGGACCCCACGAGGGTCCAGGGGGCTGCCCGGAGGGGCCCCGAGGTGCCCAGGAGGTGCCCCAGGGGCTGCTGTGGCTCCTGCAGCTCGGAGGGTGCCCGGAGGACCTTGGCTCCGAGCGCAGGGAATTCGGCCTGGGCTTTTTGGGCTTTACCTGACCCTGGTTTGTGCGCGGGAGCGATAGCCCTGTGAGACCTGCCGGGGCTGCTGACCCGCTTGACTCCATTTGGAGCAAGTGGAGCGGGAAAGGGGCTGCATGGGCCGTGAGAAATGCTCCCGGAGCAGCTCGGGAGGGGCCTGGAAGAGCAGGTTTGGCCGGAAGGGCCGGCCCGGCTGCCCGGGAGCAGCAAGGGGTGAAGTTCAGAGCTGGCTCTGGGCCTCTCAAGTCCAGCAGGACCACGGGGCCGCTGTGTGGGACCGCGCGGGCGCTGCCCGGGGCCACGTGTGCCAGCCCCGCGCGTCCTGTCGCGCAGTCGGCCCCTTGACGGTGACGTTCAGCCGGGCGCCCACGCTCGAGCAGATCCAGGCGAAGAACCCGGCCGTGGGCGCCGGGGGCCGCTACCGGCCGCCCGCCTGCGAGCCCCGCTCCCGCACGGCCATCGTCATCCCGCACCGCAACCGCGAGAGCCACCTGGGCCACCTGCTCTACTACCTGCACCCCTTCCTGCAGCGCCAGCAGCTCCAGTATGGCATCTACGTGGTGCACCAGGTGAGCTGGGCGCCTGGGGGGCTGCGGACGGGCGCGGGGGGCTCCGGCGGGCGCCCAACCGCCTCTTGGCGCAGGCGGGAAACTCCACGTTCAACCGGGCCAAGCTGCTCAACGTGGGCGTCAAGGAGGCGCTCAAGGACGAGGAGTGGGACTGTCTCTTCCTGCACGACGTGGACCTCATCCCCGAGAACGACCACAACCTCTACACGTGCGACCCCTGGAACCCCAAGCACGTCTCGGTGGCCATGAACAAATTCGGCTACAGGTGAGGGCGGGCAGGGGGGCGCGGGGGCCACCCCTGTCACCTCCGTCCGCCTCACGCCCCCGCTCTCTCCCCAGCCTGCCGTACCCGCAGTACTTCGGGGGGGTCTCGGCTCTCACCCCCGACCAGTACATGAAGATCAATGGTTTCCCCAACGAGTACTGGGGCTGGGGTGGCGAGGACGATGACATTGCCACCAGGTGAGGCGCTGCTGGCTGCCTGGGCACGTGGCGCTCGGGGCTTGTGGGGTGGCAGGATGTCCCTCCTTGTCCCTTCCCTTGGGCTGGGGGCTTCTCCTCCTATCTGTCACTGCTCTATCCCCCCTGGGCTGTCCCCCCTCGCCCTGTGCTCTTGGGACACGCTGCATGTCCCTGCCCTGGCGGGGACACCAGCTGCTCCGGTAGGTCCTTGGGGCCACCTCACCAGGGGAGGTGGCAGCCGTGGCCACGCCAGCGTGCCGGGGTGGCTCCCCTCCGGAGCGGGTGCCACCCGAGGGTGGCAGCGCCAGGCGGGTGGGACCCAGGTGGTGCCGCTGGCGGGATGTCACCGAGCCACCGCTGTCGCCTGCGCAGGGTGCGCCTGGCCGGCATGAAGATCGCCCGCCCGCCCATCTCCATCGGCCACTACAAGATGGTGAAGCACAAGAGCGACAAGGGCAACGAGGAGAACCCGCACAGGTGGGCGCCGCGGCTCGGGGGACGCCGGGGGGTCCCTGCGGGCGCTGACGCTCCCGCCCCACTCCAGGTTCGACCTGCTGATCCGCACGCAGCGCATGTGGACGCAGGACGGCATGAACTCGCTCACGTACACGCTGCTCGCCAAGCAGCTGCGGCCGCTCTACACCAACCTCACGGTGGACATCGGCACGGACCCGCGCGCCGGCCAGGCCCGCAGGGGCCTCGCGCCCGGCCACGAGGGCCACAGGTACCTGAGCAGCTCCAGCCTCCTGCGGCAGGAGATGCTGCGCAAGTCGCCGCGCGCCCCCGTGCCCTGGGCGACGCGGGGGCTCCCCCTGCCCGGCGCCCTCAGCCAGGCCCCGCAGGTGCCCACGGCCGGGGGGGCGGTGAACGGCACCCGCGGCGCTGCCCACAGCCCCGAGAGCGGCGCCCCGCCGGCCCAGGGCAGCCCCCAAGCCTCCGGGAAGGGCAAATCCGACCCGGCTGCGGCACCCACGGTGCTGGGGGTCGGTGCCAGCCTGGCCGTGCCAGGAGAGGTGGCCGAGGGGGGAAACCAGAGCCTGGCACAGGGCTCCCGCTAGCCCTGGCTCTTGCCACCCGCCGGCAGGGACTTGGCTTGTCGCAAAGTGGCTCTTCTGGCGCCTCTGCTGTGCCAGCCCCCGCGGCGGGAGCCGGTGCCCGGCGGGCGCTGCGGCCCTCGGGACGGGCTTGTGCTGTTGCCTTTGCTATAGAGACTGCGGGGAGGAACTAGCCCAGGGCAAGTGGCCCCGGGCGAGGGGGAAGCTGCTGCGGCCTGGGGCGGCCGGGCCCGCGCTGGCCCCGCGGTGCCCGAGGCCGGGGCGCGTGTGCCAGAGCCAGGCGCGGGCTCTGCTGCCAGCGTGTGGGTATTTATTCTATTTATGAGCTGCTCCCTGGACCTTTGTAAGGGTTTTTCAATTAAAAATGAACACACTTTGTCCTACGGCTGCGGGGCGGTGCCGGGGTGAGGGCACCGGGCCCCACGCGGACACAGGGGGCCCCAGGGGCCGTGGGCGCCCCGGCCGGGTGTCCCCAGGGGCCGTGGGCGCCCCGGCCGGGGCAGGCTCAGCAGGACGGCCCCAGGATGCGGCTGGCGGCCACCTTGGCACTCGCGATGCAGTCGTTGACGGAGACGCCGCCGTAGGAGGCCCCGACGAGGCTCAGGGGCAGCCGCCGCTCCGTCACGTACCGGCTGATGCTCTCTGGGGACGCACGGGGAGGTCGGAGGCCCCGCGGCGCTGCCGCCGAGGAGCCCCCCGCCCGGCCCTACCTGTGCGCTGCCAGTGACCCAACGTGTACTGGGGGATGCAGGCCTGGGGGGGAGCAGCCGGTTACCCCCGAGCCCCGCTTCGGGGGCGCCGCGCGGCCGCCCCGCGGTGCCCGCACCCACCTGGTGCACCTTGACGATGGCGCGGGACGGCGCCGCCTCGAGCCCCAGCTGCGCCCGCACGGCGCCGCGAGCCCGGCCCAGCAGCACGGCGGGCACCGCGGCCGCAGGGTCCCCGAAGCTCTGCGTGAACCAGGCGCCCCCCAGCATGACCTGCGGCACCGTCGCGGCCCCGTGAGGCCCCCGGCGGCACCCCGAGCCCCCGTCCCGCCTGCGCCCCGCTCACCGTCAGCCGCAGCGAGGGGGGGCCCGCACGGTCGTGCTCCGGGAAGGCCACCGAGTCGTAGACGATGCCCAGGACGGAGCTGTCCTCGGACGAGGGCACCAGGTGCCCGAAGCCCTGGGCGGGGAGGAGAGCGACAGGCCCGTGCCAAGCAGCACCGCGGCCACACAGGGGTGCCGGGGTGGCCCTGGGCTCACCGTGACGGGCAGCTCGGCACCGTCATACTGCAGGTTCACCACGGCCACGGTCACGGCGGGGATGCTCCGCAGCTCGCGGGCCAGCGGCTCGGCCTCGGCGGGCAGCGCTGCGGCCAGGGCTGCAAGCAGAGAGACGCTGGGCACGTCCCCGTGGCGCAGAGCGGGGCCCAGGCGTCCGGGCACCCCTACCTGCGGCCGGGATGGCGCTCACCACGTGGTCGGCTGTGACGGTGCCGTCGTCGAGCGCGAGCTGCCGGGAAGGAGGCGGGTGTGCGGGGGGCCGTGGGGCGGGCGGGCGGCGCGGCCGGCCCGGCTCTTACCTGCCAGGCGCCGGCGGGGCCGTGGCGCAGGCGCCGCAGGGCCGCGTGGCACCGCAGCTCCACGCCGCGCGCCCGCAGCGCGGCGCCCAGCGCCTCGGCCAGCCTCTCCATGCCGCCCTGCAGCGACCACTGGCTCCAGCGCTCGGCCCGCGCCCGCCGGCTCAGCGGCGACTCGGCCTCGGCTTTCGGCCCTGCGGGCACCGAGAGGCCAGTCGGGCACCTGTGTCCCCTCCCCAGGGCACTGTGGGGAGCGGTGGCAGTGCCAGTGTGGCTGTGTGCCACACGTGACAACACTGAGGTGTCCCCCGTGTCCCTGCATGCTGCAGGTGGCAGTGCCAGCGTGGCCGTGTGCCACATGCGACAACTCTGAGGTGTTCCCTGGGGCCCTGCGTGCTGCAGGTGGCAGTGCCGGGGTGCCCACAAAGCACAGCCGGGCTACCAACGTGTCCCCCTTGCTCTCTGCACCCTCACGGCCACGCCAGGGTCCCTATGTCACCCTGGCGAACAGCAGGTGCCAACGCCGCGGTGTCCCCGCCCTGTGTCCCCACGCTCTGGGTCTCACCTCGCGCCAGCGCCGTGCCCAGCAGCACGGAGCGGCGGCGCCGCTCGGCCTCGAAGAGCGCCGGGAAGCAGGAGCGCACGCTGAGCGCCCGGCTGTCCCCGGCGAACACCCCCCGGCACACGCTGTCCACGGCGATGTCGGCCACCTGCGGGGCCGCGCGGGGCTGAGCGCCGTCCCCGCGGGGCCCCCGCTCCGCTGCAGGGCCCTGATAAGGGCCGGGCGCTATCGGCCCGCGCAGGCTCCCACCTCGGCGCCGAAGCGGCGGCGGGCGAAGGAGTGGACGCTCTCGTCGGGCTGGGTGCCCGCGGGGGCCACCAGGTCGCGGAGGCCGCTCCAGAGCAGGGCGCGGGAGAAGGGCGGCACCGGCCGCACCAGGGCCCTGGCGGGACGCGGAGGGATGAAGCCGGGGCCCGGCCGTCCCCGCGGCGCCGGCGCCGTCACCTACCCGAGGCCCGAGGGCAGCTTGTGCAGGGCGCCGCGCACGTAGAGGAAGCGGTTCCTGGAGGCCGGGTGGTCCCCGGGGACGGGCAGGACGTCACCCTCGAGGCCGAGCTCGGAGACCTGCGGGGACGGGGCAGGACGCGGGTGCCGGGGGGCAGAGGGTGCCCGGGTTGGTGCTGAGGACCCGGGACTCGGCTGGGGACCCGGTTCCCGGCGCCGCGGTTCCCGGCGCCGCGGTTCCCGGCGCCGCCGTCCCTACCATGCGCAGCGTGTCCCTGCCCGCGGCTCCGGCCGGCCGGACGCCGCGCGGCCCGTGCTCGAACACGGCGCCATCCTCGGTGCGCGTGGACTGCAGCCAGCCGCCCAGGCGGGCGCTGCCCTCCAGCAGCACCACCTGCAACGGGAGCGGCTGCCGGGACCCCCGGGACCCCCGGGGCACCCCCGAGCCCTCTGGGGACACCCTAGTGCGCCAGGCCCACCCCGGGGACAGCGGCTCCCCCAGGGCCACCCCGGGGGGTTCCCCATGGCCGCCCCAGAGACACCGCCCTGGTGACAGCCCGGGGTCGCCGCCGCGCCGGGAGCGGGGCCGGAGCGGCCGCCGGGCCCCCCCGCCCTCACCTTGGGCGCGCCGGGGCCGCGGGCCAGGTGGTAGCAGGCGGCCAGGCCGCTGATGCCGCCGCCGACCACGGCCACGGTGCGCGGCATC